ACAGGTCACCATGAGACAACATGTGAGAGGGTAATATCCTACAGGTCACCATGAGACAACATGTGAGAGGGTAATATCCTACAGGTCACCATGAGACAACATGTGAGAGGGTAATATCCTACAGGTCACCATGAGACAACATGTGAGAGGGTAATATCCTACAGGTCACCATGAGACAACATGTGAGAGGGTAATATCCTACAGGTCACCATGAGACAACATGTGAGAGGGTAATATCCTACAGGTCACCATGAGACAACATGTGAGAGGGTAATATCCTACAGGTCACCATGAGACAACATGGGACAGGGTAATATCCTACAGGTCACCATGAGACAACATGTGAGAGGGTAATATCCTACAGGTCACCATGAGACAACATGTGAGAGGGTAATATCCTACAGGTCACCATGAGACAACATGTGAGAGGGTAATATCCTACAGGTCACCATGAGACAACATGTGAGAGGGTAATATCCTACAGGTCACCATGAGACAACATGTGAGAGGGTAATATCCTACAGGTCACCATGAGACAACATGTGAGAGGGTAATATCCTACAGGTCACCATGAGACAACATGTGAGAGGGTAATATCCTACAGGTCACCATGAGACAACATGTGAGAGGGTAATATCCTACAGGTCACCATGAGACAACATGGGACAGGGTAATATCCTACAGGTCACCATGAAACAACATGTGAGAGGGTAATATCCTACAGGTCACCATGAGACAACATGGGACAGGGTAATATCCTACAGGTCACCATGAGACAACATAGGGGAGGTAATATCCTCCTGTGGTCATCTCCCTGGGAAGATGGGAGCCAAGAGGAAGGAGAAGCGACCAGTAGGGAGTGGAACCATCCACGGGCCTGTGGGGGCGGGGGGGGGGGCCGGGCCAGTGGGAAGGGAAGCGACCTCTGGGGAGGGGAACTGGTTATGTGAGAAGGGACCGGTCAGGGCGGGACAGAAGCTTATATAGGAGGAATGAACGGCTCAGACAGGAGGGGGGCGCGGGGCCCGTGTTTAGGACCACCTGGACCGTGCATGAAAGGTCAAGCAGACGGGCAGGCCTGGATGGTTGGGTGTGGGGGGGGGGTGAGGCAACATGGAGAACATTGTTTCACACCGAGGTTGTCCTGGGCCGAGGTTGTCCTGGGCCGAGGTTGTCCTGGGCCGAGGTTGTCCTGGGCCGAGGTTGTCCTGGGCCGAGGTTGTCCTGGGCCGAGGTTGTCCTGGGTCGAGGTTGTCCCGGGCTGAAAAAGCAGACCGTCCTCATCAACACAGCAGACAGTCCTCATCAACACAGCAGACAGTCCTCATCAACACACTAGACAGTTCTCATCAACACACTAGACAGTTCTCATCAACACACTAGACAGTTCTCATCAACACAGCAGACCATCCTCATCAACACAACAGACCGTCCTCATCAACACAGCAGACCATCCTCATCAACACAGCAAACCGTCCTCATCACCACAGCAGACCATCCTCATCAACACAGCAGACCATCCTCATCAACACAGCAAACCGTCCTCATCACAACAGCAGACCATCCTCATCAACACAGCAGACCATCCTCATCAACACAGCAAACCGTCCTCATCACAACAGCAGACCATCCTCATCAACACAGCAGACCATCCTCATCAACACAGCAAACCATCCTCATCAACACAGCAGACCATCCTCATCAACACAGCAAACCGTCCTCATCACCACAGCAGACCATCCTCATCAACACAGCACACCATCCTCATCAACACAGCAAACCGTCCTCATCACAACAGCAGACCATCCTCATCAACACAGCAGACCATCCTCATCAACACAGCAAACCGTCCTCATCACAACAGCAGACCATCCTCATCAACACAGCAGACCATCCTCATCAACACAGCAAACCATCCTCATCAACACAGCAGACCATCCTCATCAACACAGCAAACCGTCCTCATCACAACAGCAGACCATCCTCATCAACACAGCAGACCATCCTCATCAACACAGCAAACCGTCCTCATCACCACAGCAGACCATCCTCATCAACACAGCAGACCATCCTCATCAACACAGCAAACCGTCCTCATCACCACAGCAGACCATCCTCATCAACACAGCAGACCGTCCTCATCACCACAGCAGACCATCCTCATCAACACAGCAGACCATCTTCATCAACACAGCAAACCGTCCTCATCACCACAGCAGACCATCCTCATCAACACAGCAGACCGTCCTCATCACCACAGCAGACCATCCTCATCAACACAGCAGACCATCCTCATCAACACAGCAAACCGTCCTCATCACCACAGCAGACCATCCTCATCAACACAGCAGACCATCCTCATCAACACAGCAGACCGTCCTCATCAACACAGCAGACCATCCTCATCAACACAGCAGACCATCCTCATCAACACAGCAGACCGTCCTCATCAACACAGCAGACCATCCTCATCAACACAGCAGACACTTCTCATCAACACACTAGACAGTTCTCATCAACACACTAGACAGTTCTCATCAACACAACAGACCGTCCTCATCAACACAACAGACCGTCCTCATCAACACAGCAGACCATCCTCATCAACACAGCAAACCGTCCTCATCACCACACTAGACAGTTCTCATCAACACAGCAGACAGTCCTCATCAACACACTAGACAGCTCTCATCAACACAACAGACCGTCCTCATCAACACACTAGACAGTTCTCATCAACACAACAGACCGTCCTCATCAACACAACAAACCGTCCTCATCAACACAGCAGACCATCCTCATCAACACAGCAGACCATCCTCATCAACACAGCAAACCGTCCGCATCAACACAGCAGACCATCCTCATCAACACAGCAGACCATCCTCATCAACACAGCAGACCGTCCTCATCAACACAGCAGACCATCCTCATCAACACAGCAAACCGTCCTCATCACCACAGCAGACCATCCTCATCAACACAGCAGACCATCCTCATCAACACAGCAAACCGTCCTCATCAACACAGCAGACCATCCTCATCAACACAGCAGACCGTCCTCATCAACACAGCAGACCATCCTCATCAACACAGCAGACACTTCTCATCAACACACTAGACAGTTCTCATCAACACACTAGACAGTTCTCATCAACACAACAGACCGTCCTCATCAACACAACAGACCGTCCTCATCAACACAGCAGACCATCCTCATCAACACAGCAAACCGTCCTCATCACCACACTAGACAGTTCTCATCAACACAGCAGACAGTCCTCATCAACACACTAGACAGCTCTCATCAACACAACAGACCGTCCTCATCAACACACTAGACAGTTCTCATCAACACAACAGACCGTCCTCATCAACACAACAAACCGTCCTCATCAACACAGCAGACCATCCTCATCAACACAGCAGACCATCCTCATCAACACAGCAAACCGTCCGCATCAACACAGCAGACCATCCTCATCAACACAGCAGACCATCCTCATCAACACAGCAGACCGTCCTCATCAACACAGCAGACCATCCTCATCAACACAGCAAACCGTCCTCATCACCACAGCAGACCATCCTCATCAACACAGCAGACCATCCTCATCAACACAGCAAACCGTCCTCATCAACACAGCAGACCATCCTCATCAACACAGCAGACCGTCCTCATCAACACAGCAGACCATCCTCATCAACACAGCAGACCATCCTCATCAACACAGCAAACCGTCCTCATCAACACAGCAGACCATCCTCATCAACACAGCAGACCATCCTCATCAACACAGCAAACCGTCCTCATCAACACAGCAGACCATCCTCATCAACACAGCAGACCATCCTCATCAACACAGCTGACCATCCTCATCAACACAGCAGACCATCCTCATCACCACAGCAGACCGTCCTGCTGTGGTGATGACAGAGAGGGACAGCGCCTTGACCACTACTTGAGAGACTGTGGCTAGCTAAGACAGTTAAAATATGCAGTATAACAAAAACCACCTTGTTTGAATTAGAAAAATTGTATTGGTCATTTACTAATGACCAATGGTAAATATTAGGACTGGTAAATAATATTTGAGGGTTGGTAGGTGAAGGGGAGGGGGTGGTGGTGATGGGGAGGGGTAGTGGTGATGTGGAGGGGTAGTGGTGATGGGGACGGGTTGTGGTGATGGGGAGGGATTGTGGTGATGGGGAGGGATGGTGGTGATAAGGAGGGCTTGTGGTGATGGGGAAGGGTGGTTGTGATGAACATGGGGAGGGGTAGTGGGATGGGGAGGGGTGATGGGAAGGGGTAGTGGGATGGGGAGGGGTGATGGGAAGGGGTAGTGGTGTTTATGGGGAGGGGTGTGGTGGTGATGGGGAGAGGTGGTGATGATTGGGAAGGGTGGTGGTGATGGGGAAGGGTGGTGGTGATGGAGAGGGGAGTGGTGATGGGAAAGGGTGGTGGTGATGGGGAAGGGTAGTGGTGATGGAGAGGTGGGTGGTGGTGATGGGGAGGGGGTGCTGGTGATGGGAAGAGGGGGTGGTGGTGATGAGGATGGGTGGTGGTGATGGGGAGGAGTGGTGGTGATGGGGATGGGTGGTGGTGATGGGGAGTGGTGGTGGTGATGGGGAGGGGTGCTGGTGATGGGAAGAGGGGTGGTGGTGATGGGGAGGGTTGGTGGTGGTGGGGAGGGGTGGTGGTGATGGGGGGGGGTGGTGGTGATGGGGAGGGATGGTGGTGATGGGGGGGGGTGGTGATGGAGAGGGATGGTGGTGATGGGGAGGGGTGGTAGTGACGAGGAGGGGTGATGGTGATGGGGAGGGGTGGTAGTGATGAGGAGGGGTGATGGTGGTGGGGAGGGGTGGTGGTTATGGGGAGGGGTGATGGTGGTTGGGAGGGGTGATGGTGGTGGGGAGGGGTGGTGGTGATGGGTCAAGACACTGGAACCTCTCCCGGCTCTGGTATATATAACCTGGGAAGCTCTGGGTTTCTCACAGTCAACCATCAGCTCTCCAGAAGTCGCTCCTTCACCTGCTGTTGCTGCTACACCCAGGGTTTACCCTCCAGTCTCTGCTACACCCAGGGTGTTAACTCTACCGTAAGTAGTTCACCCTCCAGTCTCTGCTACACTCAGGGTGTTAACTCTACCGCCACACCCTTCAAGACGTACACCCTCGCTCATAAGGTAGACAGCCACACCCTACAATAAGTACACTTGCTCGAGGTGTTGTTGACCCATGTGGTCAACAACACCTTGAGGCTCACTAACGAACTCTTCCTTATATGAGGTATTGAGTTCTTACACATGGAACATCATCATACTTCCCGCTGACCCAAGAGCTGCAGTTCAACCCCAACAAGCAGAGAGAGACGAGCACTGTTAGGTGAGTACATCTAGACACAGAACACCAAGAACTCTGAGGACAAGGAACACAGAAGAGAACCATCAACCCAACTCTGTCGTTGTTGTATTGGCGGGAACTTCTCCAGTAGAGAAACATGACCATAAACACGGATCCCATAGATGCCAGAACCCAGGGGGTGAGGAACTTCCTACACCACGTGACTCTTGGTTGACAGGCGGGACCCAAGAGCTAATACACAACCCCGTATAGATATACGCCGTGTTGCCACACTTGCCAAAGTCAACTTTGGAGAGGGAAAAGTAGCGATTACGCTCCAGGGGCCACGTGCGATGTTCATCAACCCTACGTTCAAAGAGTTTGTAGACACAACATCTCTGGGCAATTATGACGAAAATCCTCAGGGAAAGTCCCTTGAGTATCGAGGTTTCTAAGGGTTAAGAACATCCGCTACGAGCCATTCTTCGGGGACCAATGTCGCCTCCCGAATACGGTTATTGTTGTGCAGGAAATACTGCCCGAGGTGCACGGAGGGAAATGACAGAGCATCTCATAGTGAATACCGTCTCAGCCCGCCACATTAGAATTGCAGAGAAACAAGGCGGACTGGACTGCAGGAAAAGTGAAAAGATCATTATAGGTGAGTGCGATAGTCTAAGGAGCGAGATTGAAGAAGGGGCTTACAAGTAAGGTGAGTAGGAGGAAGATGAATACCGGAGCTCACGGCTGAGGAGTGCAATTCAGTACATTTCCGAACAAAACCGGATCTGTCACAGTGGAACCACAGGGATGACTGACAGGCGCACTTGTCTGTCACACATTTACCTGGAATCTTACGGGTTTCCTTCCAGACATGAGGGAAAATAGCATCAACAGTAATGAAAGATTGCCAACTCTACGAGCCACCACATTCACCTGAAACACAATGAAGGATTTAGGTGTGTTCTGGCGTAGTGTCTTTTCCAGGGAGCACGCCTAAAGTGCACAGACCGAGCACAGTCCGAGCACAGTCCCAGCACAATCCCAGCTCAGCCCGAGCACAGTCCCAGCACAATCCGAGCACAGCCCGAGCTCCACCAAGGAGCTAAGGCCACGAATATAAGGAGGGGGCGAGGGAGAGAGGCATCAGGGAAGAGAAGCATGGGGGGTGGAAAGATTCCAGTCCGCCTTCTCAACTCGTCACCAAGGGAAAGGGAGGAAGGAAAAGCGGGCTACGAGGATGAGGAAAATGGTCAGTGTTATGAGGAGCACAGATTAACTGCAGACAAGAGTAAGAGTGAGGGAGTCTACTTATAAATGAGTAAAGTCAGAGTGGGAGAGCACAGTAAGTGGAGGTCCCATGACAGTCCCAGACCTCCGTCATGGGACCGCTCTTGTTGACCGTATATATATACATAAACGATTGAGATTTAGGCTCGAGCAGCGGTATCTGCAAACTTCCAGACGATACAAAAATTGAGCGGGAATTCGATTTAGAAGAAGACAGAAAATTACTTCACGACTTTTTAATGGGCATTTTAAATGGTCGATAGATTGACAGATGCCATTTAATGCCGACAAATGTAGAGTTCTCAGGCCAGGTAATGATGACAGTCACTAGAAATTAAGTGGATAGTGATGAAATTGTTAAGTCTGAGAAGGAAAATGATCCGGAGAAGGGATCATGATTAGTAGGAATGTAATGCCAAAAAATCAATGAACAAATATTTGAAATAAGACAAATAGAATATCACGGTATTGTGATTTAACTGTGTATCTGACGGAAGCATTTGGGCCACTCCATTACCTTCACTAGAGTGTATGCGTGTTATATATGAAAATTGGCTCATATTTATTTATTTTATTTATTTATTTATTTATATATATACAAGAAGGTACATTGGGTTTGTGAGAATACATTGGATAGTACATTGGATATACCAGCTCGGCGCCTGCAAGTGGATCCTGGCGGACACCAGGTTGTGTAACAGTTAACATATCGTGTTGTTGTTGTTCCAAGTAGCACGGGTGAGCCCATAGTGGTCTTATTAACATATCGTGGTGCAGGGGGTCACGGTGCGCGTCTGGGGTCACCCAGGACGCTGCTCCCATCCCCGTCCTGCTGCAAAGATTTTCTCATAAAAATCGGGTATTAAATATATCACCACACAAGAATAAGAAGGAATAGATATAAAATAAAGAAATTTAGCTTCAGGAAAGAAATGGATAAATACTGACTAGGAAACAGGGTGGGTGGTTTCAGGTTTGATTTCTTATGTTCTTATAATTAGGGTCCAGGACAAACAAAATGTTCTTATAATTAAGGTCCAGAACAGAACAAAATGTTCTCATCACAAGGGCCCAGAACAGACCAAAATGTTCTCATCACAAGGGCCCACAACAGACCAAAATGTTCTCATCATAAGGGTCCAGAACAGACCAAAATGATCTCATAATAAAGGTCCAGAACAGACCAAAATGTTCTTATGATAAGGGTCCAGAACAGACCAAAATGTTCTTATGATAAGGGCCCAGAACAGACCAAAATGTTCTCATCATAAGGGTCCAGAACAGACCAAAATGTTCTCATCATAAGGGCCCAGAACAGACCAAAATGTTCTCATCATAAGGGTCGAGAACAGACCAAAATGATCTCATAATAAAGGTCCAGAACAGACCAAAATGATCTCATAATAAAGGTCCAGAACAGACCAAAATGTTCTCATCATAAGGGTCGAGAACAGACCAAAATGATCTCATCATAAGGGCCCAGAACAGACCAAAATGATCTCATAATAAAGGTCCAGAACAGACCAAAATGTTCTCATCATAAGGGTCCAGAACAGACCAAAATGTTCTCATAATAAAGGGCCAGAACAGACCAAAATGTTCTTATGATAAGGGTCCAGAACAGACCAAAATGATCTCATAATAAAGGTCCAGAACAGACCAAAATGTTCTCATCATAAGGGTCCAGAACAGAACCAAAAGTCGTCATTTTCATTTCATGTGTAGGTCGATTTATTGGTTCCTCAACCCCGGTACTGTGACTAATAGTGTGCATGATAACTGAAGTCAACTGAAGGTTATATTACAACATTAATATGATAACATGAGTCAACAATTATCTTGAAACACTTAATTATTCAACGTTGTCATGTTTACAGGTTTGTTGAGAGGTAACCTAGTGACCAGATCTTCACCATGATGCTGGCTATCACCATCCTCCTTGGTGAGTATTGTCACCATCCTCCATGGTGAGCATTGTCACCATCCTCCATGGTGAGCATTGTCACCATCCTCTATGGTGAGTATTGTCACCATCCTCTATGGTGAGTATTGTCACAATCCTCCATGGTGAGTATTGTCACCATCCTCCATGGTGAGTATTGTCACAATCCTCCATGGTGAGTATTGTCACCATCCTCCTTGGTGAGCATTGTCACCATCCTCCATGGTGAGCATTGTCACCATCCTCTATGGTGAGTATTGTCACCATCCTCCATGGTGAGTATTGTCACCATCCTCTATGGTGAGTATTGTCACAATCCTCCATGGTGAGTATTGTCACAATCCTCCATGGTGAGTATTGTCACCATCCTCCTTGGTGAGTATTGTCACCATCCTCTATGGTGAGCATTGTCACCATCCTCTATGGTGAGTATTGTCACCATCCTCCATGGTGAGCATTGTCACCATCCTCTATGGTGAGTATTGTCACCATCCTCTATGGTGAGTATTGTCACAATCCTCCATGGTGAGTATTGTCACCATCCTCCTTGGTGAGTATTGTCACCATCCTCTATGGTGAGCATTGTCACCATCCTCTATGGTGAGTATTGTCACCATCCTCTATGGTGAGTATTGTCACCATCCTCCATGGTGAGCATTGTCACCATTCTCTATGGTGAGTATTGTCACCATCCTCTATGGTGAGTATTGTCACAATCCTCCATGGTGAGTATTGTCACCATCCTCCATGGTGAGTATTGTCACCATCCTCTATGGTGAGCATTGTCACCATCCTCTATGGTGAGTATTGTCACCATCCTCTATGGTGAGTATTGTCACCATCCTCTATGGTGAGTATTGTCACCATCCTCTATGGTGAGTATTGTCACCATCCTCTATGGTGAGCATTGTCACCATCCTCTATGGTGAGTATTGTCACCATCCTCTATGGTGAGTATTGTCACCATCCTCTATGGTGAGTATTGTCACAATCCTCCATGGTGAGTATTGTCACCATCCTCTATGGTGAGTATTGTCACCATCCTCTATGGTGAGTATTGTCACCATCCTCTATGGTGAGTATTGTCACCATCCTCCATGGTGAGTATTGTCACCATCCTCTATGGTGAGTATTGTCACCATCCTCTATGGTGAATATTGTCACCATCCTCTATGGTGAATATTGTCACCATCCTCCATGGTGAGTATTGTCACCATCCTCCATGGTGAGTATTGTCACCATCCTCCATGGTGAGTATTGTCACCATCCTCTATGGTGAGTATTGTCACCATCCTCTATGGTGAGTATTGTCACCATCCTCCATGGTGAGTATTGTCACCATCCTCTATGGTGACTATTGTCACCATCCTCTATGGTGAGTATTGTCACCATCCTCTATGGTGAATATTGTCACCATCCTCCATGGTGAGTATTGTCACCATCCTCCATGGTGAGTATTGTCACCATCCTCCATGGTGAGTATTGTCACCATCCTCTATGGTGAGTATTGTCACCATCCTCTATGGTGAGTATTGTCACCATCCTCTATGGTGAGTATTGTCACCATCCTCTATGGTGAGTATTGTCACCATCCTCCATGGTGAGTATTGTCACCATCCTCCATGGTGAGTAGTGTCACCATCCTCTATGGTGAGTATTGTCAATATACTATCAGAGGCCCAATTTATCAAAGCACCATGATCTTAACGAAGGGGAATATCAGAGTTCCCGGGGCTTAACGAGGGGAATATCAGAGTCCCCGGGGCTTAACGAAGGGGAATATTAGAGTCCCTGGGGCTTAACGAGGGGAATATCAGAGTCTCTGGGGCTTAACGAAGGGGAATATCAGAGTCCCTGGGTCTTAACGAGGGGAATATCAGAGTCCCCGGGGCTTAACGAAGGGGAATATCAGAGTCCCTGGGGCTTAACGAGGGGAAATAGGGGAAGGGCAGTCGGGTATAACTGGCCGAGGATATAAAAGTGTTCAGAAGTCAAAGTTATCCACTGACTTGTATTGACGTTTTCTGTGACAGTGTTCGCTGGTGCCCAAGCCAACCCCATCCAGCTTGGGTTTCGACCCCAGACGCTACCCCAGGTGTTCCCCGGTGGTAATGCCCTCCTGGAAGATGCCCAGATCGGCCACCTGCTGAGAACAGCGCCCGCAGGATCCCAGCTGCTGAGAACGACTGCGCCTGTGGGTAGCCTCCTGTCTCGTCTTCCAGATAATGCTACCCTTATCAGGACGAATATTGTTGACACCTTCAGCTGTAGTGGACGGGTAGGTGTGTGTGTGTGTGTGTGTGTGTGTGTGTGTGTGTGTGTGTGTGTGTGTGTGTGTGTGTGTGTGTGTGTGTGTGTGTGTGTGTGTGTGTGTGTGTGTACTCACCTAGTTGTGCTTGCGGGGATTGAGCTCTGGCTCTTTGGTCCTGCCTCTCAACCCTCAATCAACAGGTGTACAGATTCCTGAGCCTACTGGGCTCTATCATATCTACACTTGAAACTGTGTATGGAGTGAGCCTCCACCACATCACCCCCTAATGCATTCCATTTGTCAACCACTCTGACACTAAAAAAGTTCTTTCTAATATCTCTGTGGCTCATTTGGGCACTCAGTTTCCACCTGTGTCCCCTTGTGCGTGTTCCCCTTGTGTTAAATAGACTGTCTTTATCTACGCTATCAATTCCCTTCAGAATCTTGAGTGTGGTGATCATGTCCCCCCTAACTCTTCTGTCTTCCAGCGAAGTGAGGTTTAATTCCCGTAGTCTCTCCTCGTAGCTCATACCTCTCAGCTCGGGTACTAGTCTGGTGGCAAACCTTTGAACCTTTTCCAGTTTAGTCTTATCCTTGACTAGATATGGACTCCATGCTGGGGCTGCATACTCCAGGATTGGCCTGACATATGTGGTATACAAAGTTCTGAATGATTCTTTACACAAGTTTCTGAATGCCGTTCGTATGTTGGCCAGCCTGGCATATGCCGCTGATGTTATCCGCTTGATATGTGCTGCAGGAGACAGGTCTGGCGTGATATCAACCCCCAAGTCTTTTTCCTTCTCTGACTCCTGAAGAATTTCCTCTCCTTGATGATACCTTGTATCTGGCCTCCTGCTCCCTACACCTATCTTCATTACATTACATTTGGTTGGGTTAAACTCTAACAACCATTTGTTCGACCATTCCTTCAGCTTGTCTAGGTCTTCTTGAAGCCTCAAACAGTCCTCTTCTGTTTTAATCCTTCTCATAATTTTAGCATCGTCCGCAAACATTGAGAGAAATGAATCGATACCCTCCGGGAGATCATTTACATATATCAGAAACAAGATAGGACCGAGTACAGAGCCCTGTGGGACTCCACTGGTGACTTCACGCTAATCGGAGGTCTCACCCCTCACCGTAACTCTCTGCTTCCTATTGCTTAGGTACTCCTTTATCCACTGGAGCACCTTACCAGCTACACCTGCCTGTCTCTCCAGCTTATGTATCAGCCTCTTATGCGGTACTGTGTCAAAGGCTATGTGTGTGTGTGTGTGTGTGTGTGTGTGTGTGTGTGTGTGTGTGTGTGTGTGTGTGTGTGTGTGTGTGTGTGTGTGTGTGTGTGTGTGTGTGTGTGTGTGTGTGTGTGTGTGTGTGTGTGTGTGTACTCACCTAATTGTGTTTGGGGGGATTGAGCTCTGGCTCTTTGGTCCCGCCTCTCAACTGGTTTACAGATTCCTGAGCCTACTGGGCTCTGTCATATCTACAATTGAAACTGTGTATGGAGTCAGCCTCCACCACATCACTGCCTAATGCATTCCATTTGTCAACCACTCTGACACTGAAAAAGTTCTTTCTAGCGTCCCTGTGGCTCATTTGGGTACTCAGTTTCCACCTGTGTCCCCTTGTTCGCGTACTACCCGTGTTAAACAGTTTATCTTTATCTACCCTGTCAATTCCTCTGAAAATTTTGTAGGTAGTGATCATGTCTCCCCTTACTCTTCTGTCTTCTAATGTCGTGAGGTGCATTTCTCGCAGCCTTTCTTCGTAATTCATGCCTCTTAGTTCTGGGACTAGCCTAGTGGCATATCTCTGAACTTTTTCCAGCTTCGCCTTGTGCTTGACAAGGTACGGGCTCCATGCTGGGGCCGCATACTCCAGGATTGGTCTTACATATGTGGTGTACAAGGTTCTGAATGATTCCTTACACAGGTTCCTGAAGGCAGTTCTGATGTTAGCCAGCCTCGCATACGCCGCAGATGTTATTCTTTTTATGTGGGCTTGAGGAGACAGGGTTGGTGTGATATCAACTAGATCCTTCTCTCTGTCCGTTTCATGAAGGACTTCATCTCCCATACTGTATCCTGTGTCTGGCCTCCTGTTTCCACTGCCTAGTTTCATTACCTTACATTTACTTGGGTTGAATTTTAGTAGCCATTTGTTGGATCATTCATGCAGTCTGTATTGGTCATCTTGTAGTTTCATACAGTCTTCATCCATCTTAATCCTCTTCATAATTTTTGCATCATCAGCAAACAATGAGAGGAATGAAAGGATCTTTCTATACCATCTGAAATATCATTTATATATATAAGAAACAGTATGGGTCCAAGAACTGAACCCTGCCGGACCCACTGGTGACGTCTCGCCAGTCTGAGACCTCACCTCGCACAGTGACTCGCTGCCTTCTGTTACTTAGGTACTCCCATTTCCAATGGAGTACCTTCCCTTTCACTCCTGCCTGCATCTCCAGCTTTCGCACTAGTCTCTGGTGTGGCACTGTGTCAAAGGCTTTCTGGCAATTCAAAAATATGCAGTCTGCCCGCCCCTCTTTTTCTTCACTGATTCTTGTTGCCTGGTCGTATAATTCAATTAATCCTGTGAGGCATAACTTGCCCTCTCTGAAATCATGTTGATGTTGTGACACAAAGTTTCTTCACTCCAGATGTTCGACTAGCTTTTTTCGTACAATTTTCTCCTTTACCTTGCATGGTATGCAAGTTTGGGACACTGGTCTGTAGTTCAGTGCCTCCTGTCTATCCCCTTTCTTGTATATCGAGACTACGTTTGCCACCTTTCAAATTTCTGCCAGTTCACCTGTTACCAGTGATTTGTTATACACCATGGAGAGTGGCAGGCACAGTGCTTCTGCTCCTTCCTTTAGTATCCATGGTGATATTCCATCCGAGCCTATAGCCTTTGTCACATCCAACTCTAGCAAAAGCTTCCTTACATCTCCACTGGTAATCTCAAATTGATTCTAGTGGTGCCTGGTTAATTATTCCATCTCTTATCTCTGGAACTTCTCCTTACTCTAATGTGAAGACTTCCTGGAATTTCATATTGACTTCCTGTCTTTCCTTATTACATTGTAATCCTAGGGGAACACATCATTTGTTATGATTCCTGAGAGTATTGTTTCCGTGATTCCAATTATATCTCGGTTTACTTCTTGTGCTCTTTCCCTAAGTTCACTCACCTTGTTTGTAATCCCTTGTGTGTGTGTGTGTGTGTGTGTGTGTGTGTGTGTGTGTGTGTGTGTGTGTGTGTGTGTGAATCACCTATTTGTTCCTGCAGGATCTTCGACCCCTGCCTTATTTACAGAGGTAACTGAGGTGTCTGCCTCAACAATAACAGACATATACAGAGGTAACTGAGGTGTTTGCCTCAACAATAACAGACATATACAGAGGTAACTGAGGTGTTTGCCTCAACAATAACAGACATATACAGAGGTAACTGAGGTGTTTGCCTCAACAATAACAGACATATACAGAGGTAACTGAGGTGTCTGCCTCAACAATAACAGACATATACAGAGGTAACTGAGGTGTCTGCCACAACAATAACAGACATATACAGAGGTAACTGAGGTGTCTGCCTCAACAATAGCAAATATATGTAGAGGTAACTGAGGTGTCTGCCACAACAATAACAGACATATACAGAGGTAACTGAGGTGTCTGCCACAACAATAACAGACATATACAGAGGTAACTGAGGTGTCTGCCACAACAATAACAGACATATACAGAGGTAACTGAGGTGTCTGCCACAACAATAACAGACATATACAGAGGTAACTGAGGTGTCTGCCACAACAATAACAGACATATACAGAGGTAACTGAGGTGTCTGCCACAACAATAACAGACATATACAGAGGTAACTGAGGTGTTTGCCACAACAATAACAGACATATACAGAGGTAACTGAGGTGTCTGCCACAACAATAACAGACATATACAGAGGTAACTGAGGTGTCTGCCTCAACAATAACAGACATATACAGAGGTAACTGAGGTGTCTGCCACAACAGTAACAGACATATACAGAGGTAACTGAGGTGTCTGCCACAACAATAACAGACATATACAGAGGTAACTGAGGTGTCTGCCACAACAATAACAGACATATACAGAGGTAACTGAGGAGTCTGCCACAACAATAAGAGACATATACAGAGGTAACTGAGGTGTCTGCCACAACAATAACAGACATATACAGAGGTAACTGAGGTGTCTGCCACAACAATAACAGACATATATACAGAGTAACTGAGGTGTCTGCCACAACAATAACAGACATATACAGAGGTAACTGAGGTGTCTGCCACAACAATAACAGACATATACAGAGGTAACTGAGGTGTCTACCAGACTAAGAGTACCTTCCCCTCAGGTGTACGGATACTACGCTGACCAGGACAACGACTGCCAGATCTTCCACGTGTGTCTGCCACTACAACAGCTTTACCCTGCCAACTTCACCAAAGAGACTACCTTCACTTTCAGCTTTATCTGCCCTCAATATACCATCTTTAGTCAGGTGAGTAGATGATATGTACACCCAGGTGATGTGTACACCCAGGTGATGTACACCCAGGTGATGTACACGCAGGTGATGTACACCCAGGTGATGAACACGCAGGTGATGTACACGCAGGTGATGTACACCCAGGTGATGTACACCCAGGTGATGTACACCCAGGTGATGTACACCCAGGTGATGTACACCCAGGTGATGTACACCCAGGTGATGTACACCCAGGTGATGTACACCCAGGTGATGTGTACACGCAGGTGATGTACACCCAGGTGATGTGTACATCCAGGTGATGTGTACACCCAGGTGATGTACACCCAGGTGATGTGTACACCCAGGTGATGTGTACACCCAGGTGATGTACACCCAGGTGATGTGTACACCCAGGTGATGTGTACACCCAGGTGGCATGTACATCCAGGTGATGTGTGCACCCAGGTGATGTACACGCAGGTGATGTACACCCAGGTGATGAACACCCAGGTGATGTACACCCCAGGTGACATGTACACCCACGAGTGTAATTATGAGAAAAAGACGCCAAGTTGAATAGACCATGTAGCAAATACACATATAATTGAATTTAATAATTGAATTATATGTGTAAAAGAGTAGAGTATAGTACGGTAGAGTACAAGAGCCAGAACAGTAGAGTACAAGAGCAAGGACAGTAGAGTACAAGAGCCAGAACAGTAGAGTACAAGAGCCAGGACAGTAGAGTACAAGAGCCAGAACAGTATAGTACAAGAGCAAGGACAGTAGAGTACAAGAGCAAGGACAGTAGAGTACAAGAGCCAGAACAGTAGAATACAAGAGCCAGGACAGTAGAATACAAGAGCCAGGACAGTAGAATAAAAGAGCCAGGACAGTAGAATACAAGAGCCAGGACAGTAGAATAAAAGAGCCAGGACAGTAGAGTACAAGAGCCAGGACAGTAGAGTACAAGAGCCAGGACAGTAGAGTACAAGAGCCAGGACAGTAGTGTACAAGAGCCAGGACAGTAGAGTACAAGAGCCAGGACAGTAGAGTACAAGAGCCAGGACAGTAGTGTACAAGAGCCAGGACAGTAGAGTACAAGAGCCAGGACAGTAGAGTACAAGAGCCAGGACAGTAGAGTTCAAGAGCCAGGACAGTAGAGTACAAGAGCCAGTACAGTACAGTACAAGAGCCAGGACAGTACACTACCAGAGCCAGAACAGTAGAATACAAGAGCCAGAACAGTAGAGTACAAGAGCCAGGACAGTAGAGTACAAGAGCCAGGACAGTAGGGTACAAGAGCCAGAATAGTAGAATACAAGAGCCAGAATAGTAGAATACAAGAGCCAGGACAGTAGAATACAAGAGCCAGGACAGTAGAGTACAAGAGCCAGGACAGTAGAGTACAAGAGCCAGGACAATAATGAGGCCGCATATTACACAGGACTCGCTGACCTGCGCCTGGGAGTCGGAAGCTCTGCCGTGTGAGGCCGCTGCTGCTCTCTATGGCATCAACGACAGCTTCTTCAAGAAGATCAGGGACAGCGACGGCAAGGAACGCTACGCTCAGCTCGGTGAAAACTTCTCCCCGTCGTCCGCTGGCTCGGGCGCCACATTCAACATCCCCTAGTCCCTAAAGACCTCCAACAGTTGTTCGCCCTGAGATACGCAAGAGAAGGGGAACATGGGACTCTCCTCCCAGGGCATGCATGATAAGAGAAGGTCTCACAGGTCTCTCTTGGGGAATAAGGGGCATTGTGGGCATGGGTATAACTCTGTACAATGACTGTCTTCGCTAGTCCTTTCCTAACGCTCATCAACGTGTTTTTCTGGGCATTATTGTTTTTGTATTTGTTAAGTGATCGGTTGACTATTCCACACTTGGGTTCTAGTTCCGGTGTTAACCCCGGGCCTTCTGTCGGCGAGAATCAACTAGGGGTTCCCATAGTACCCTCTAGTGGTAGAAGTCTGAACCACGGGCCCTCTGGCGGCGAGGGAGTCAACTAGGACCCCACTGGTGGCCGGCAGTGAACCAGGAGACAGTGATGAATGATCTCCTCAAGAGAGAGAGGTCAAGAAGCCTGGCTCTCCTGGTTCCACTGATACATACCATTAGGGCTTACCAAGTTAGGTTAGGTGGGTTACTAATGTTTACAACTGTACCTGGATCAACTAATATATGTAATAAAGATAGCAACTTACGGATATAATCTTTCCTTCACCCTATTTATGCTAGGATATCTAGTTTTCAAGGGCTCCGAAATCATGTTAACGATGTCTCTTGAACTGCATCATAGTTGAAGACATCCAAACCAAACCAAATTATACTGAATATAATTGTTTTCTTCTAAATCTAATCAGACTAATGGTTATCTATCTTCGCCTATCTTCTCCTTATGTCTTTTAACCAAACCAAACAAAGCCTCATCTCTCTCTCAGGCTAAATATATTCATATATTTTGCAAACCAAATCTAGCCTAATGTATTGTAAACAACTTATACAGTCTAACGTTACAAAACTGTCCTGTGGATAGATTATAGTTCATCTAAATTCTGATAAATGCATCGTTACTAACTTGATGCTGATGGCGCTTTGTGCTGGGACACTCTTGCCTTAAGCCTCTGGCTGGCCCACTATGTCACTCGTGTGGTGGATGAGTATTTATGACTTTATGTTGGCCTATGTACAAGAGCGAGGACAATACAGTTGAAGGAGACTACTTATAGGAGATCATGTCCAGCGTGTTTAATAACTTTAGCGTTGTTAAATCTCAGTTGTAAACTTACCTGGTTGTAACTCTGCACTGTGTTAGATAATGTTCCAGTGACCCATCGGGCATTTCTCCACTGTGCTGATATTTCCTCTCATTTCTGAGACCTGTAAACCTATTCCTGTAAGACTCATGGACCTGAAAGATTCCCATGCACATGGGAATCCAAGTCTGATGCTATGTAAGTTCACTTCTATTTTTCTATTGATTCATTTAATCAAAATAAGTTTATTGTAGTTGGCTGAATTCTTGTACCAACCCACCGATCCTGATGTTGCAGCTGCTGTGTTGTGGTCACTGTACATCTTCTGCATAGCTCTATCTCTAATCCTAATCTGTGATAGACTCTGTGGTATGTAGCAGACTACATTCCTCCTCTTAGTTGCAAGTTTTGCAGCTTCCTCTGCAATGTTATTCCCTAGTGTTCCTACATGACTTGGCTCTCAGTTGACAAATATTCGACGACCTTGACTTTTGAGTGTTTGCATTAACACATTTCCCGAACACTTGTAATCGAATTATCTCTAAATTCAGAATTGTTTTTCAATTACATAGTGACGTAAGGTATGTGAATAGTTCTGCCGACAGAGTTTATATTTGGTCAGATCTACATCAGCAGATGGTGCAGACTGCCAGAGGTGCTTGTAACCGAGCCTATGCCTAGCAGTGCTAACATCCAGCAGTTTGAAACCTTATTGAATAACGAAGAGGTATGTGGCTCTTCCTGCATGACAGTATGATGATCGATGGTATAACCAGCGTGAATTTCACTTTGTCTCAGGTCTATTTAATTTTGCTGCAGTTCTCGGTGTATTACTGTTCTTAGGTAGTACAATCCAAGATGGTAATCATCTCCCTCTTTAAACACACATGCTTTAGTTACTTCATCGGTTCTATCAAGCACTCGGAGGACAGTATGGGAGAGGATATATAGGAGACGCACTCTGACTCCATCATTGATTGCATTATTATATCTGTGCCTAGCTCCACACACAAGCACATCCCAGTTATGCCTTGAGGAGTTGAGTACAATCAGGGATGAGGGAGAGCCACTTACAATTGAAGTGTTACCTTGAGATACACATACTCGCCTGAGTATGAGGAGTATGGCAAACAATTCTGTATTCAAGAGTGGAGGCCCAGTTATTTATACGAGCTACCACTCAAGATAGAAGCCAGCTCTGACAGTTGCAAAACTGGCCCAACCGGCAGTGGAGGCGTGGAGTGACCCACCAGTGGAGGCGTGGAGTGACCCACCAGTGGAGGCGTGGAGTGACCCACCAGTGGAGGCGTGGAGTGACCCACCAGTGGAGGCGTGGAGTGACCCACCAGTGGAGGTGTGGAGTGACCCACCAGTGGAGGCGTGGAGTGACCCACCAGTGGAGGCGTGGAGTGACCCACCAGTGGAGGCGTGGAGTGACCCACCAGTGGAGGCGTGGAGTGACCCACCAGTGGAGGTGTGGAGTGGCCCACCAGTGGAGGCGTGGAGTGACCCACCAGTGGAGGCGTGGAGTGACCCACCAGTGGAGGCGTGGAGTGACCCACCAGTGGAGGCGTGGAGTGACCCACCAGTGGAGGTGTGGAGTGACCCACCAGTGGAGGCGTGGAGTGACCCACCAGTGGAGGTGTGGAGTGACCCACCAGTGGAGGCGTGGAGTGACCCACCAGTGGAGGCGTAGAGTGACCCACCAGTGGAGGTGTGGAGTGACCCACCAGTGGAGGCGTGGAGTGACCCACCAGTGGAGGCGTGGAGTGACCCACCAGTGGAGGCGTGGAGTGACCCACCAGTGGAGGTGTGGAGTGACCCACCAGTGGAGGTGTGGAGTGACCCACCAGTGGAGGCGTAGAGTGACCCACCAGTGGAGGTGTGGAGTGACCCACCAGTGGAGGTGTGGAGTGACCCACCAGTGGAGGTGTGGAGTGACCCACCAGTGGAGGCGTGGAGTGACCCACCAGTGGAGGCGTGGAGTGACCCACCAGTGGAGGCGTGGAGTGACCCACCAGTGGAGGCGTGGAGTGACCCACCAGTGGAGGTGTGGAGTGACCCACCCGTGGAGGCGTGGAGTGACCCACCAGTGGAGGTGTGGAGTGACCCACCAGTGGAGGCGTGGAGTGACCCACCAGTGGAGGTGTGGAGTGACCCATCAGTGTAAACAGTTAGAGAGAGCGAGATCGCTCTATAAAACACAACATCAATTTGGCTTAAGTCATTGTACTTTACTTCACGTCGAAGCATGAAGTTGTTTCTTAATTATCTTTTTGGGCGGGAAGACAGAGACAGGTGGAGGTACTCTGAGATACCTGTCACTCTGTTAAAGTGACAGGTATGCCGGCTGTTAAGGGGTGAACTCCCACGGTGCTGGGAGTTGTTGTGTCTGGGTAGCGATGATGAACCTCAAACATTCTAAATAGAGCTGAGCTTCTTGTGATATAATGATCTAATATTTATATACTATAATATAAAGTAATGATCTAATATTTAGTGAGAAGTGGTGGAGGAAGACTGCCTACTGTTTCAAATGTAAATATATCAGAGCCCAATAGACTCGGTAAAAAATGTAATTAAAGTGATGAATACAGTTAAATATATTTAAGCTGGTCTCAACCACACCGCCTAGCATGAGTGGTCAATAGGAGGGGACAAAGCTCTTTGACCACAACACTCATTCATAAAAGGAATGTTAATGAGTTCACAGTGTTGAATAACCCTTAGTCTGTCTCCTGTTCTCTGGCAAGAAAAAAAAATCTTCACAAACAACAGCCAACCGTCGTCCCGGGCGTCGAAGTCCCGACACTCCCCGCCACACTCAGGTCGACGGGGTAATCCCACTAGCATAATTCAAATTTTTACGATATCTTTTGAGTGCACACACTCACACACACACAAGAACAGATTGTGGAAGCAAACTCTATTCATAATTTTAAAATTAGGTATGATAGGGAAATAGGACAGGAGTCATTGCTGTAAACAACCGATGGCTGGAAAGGCGGGATCCAAGAGCCAATGCTCGATCTTGCAAGCACAAATAGGTGAGTACAAATACGTGAGTACACACACACTCACACACTAGGTCTCACTAGGGGTAGCCTGGTGGAAGGGGGCCTCGTAGCCTGGTGGATACTACAGACCCGTATCACTGACAAGCATCCCCTGCAAAATACTTGAAAGAATAATTAGGCTAAGACTTGTTGAACACCTGGAGAGCATTGGGTTTGTAAACAAGCACCAACATGGGTTCTGGACAGGGAAATCATGAATAACAAACCTTTTAGAATTCTATGATAAAGTAACAAGGATAAGGCAGGACAGAGAAGGCTGGGCAGACTGCATATTTCTTGACTGCCAAAAGGCCTTTGATACGGTACCGCACATGAGACTGCTATACAAACTTGAGAGGCAGGCAGGAGTAAGCGGAAAGGCCCTAGTATGGGTGAAGAACTACCTAACAGGAAGGAGCCAGAGGGTAATGGTAAGGGGCGAAAAGTCGGACTGGCGAACAGTAACAAGTGGAGTACCTCAAGGATCGGTGCTGGGACCAATCCTCTTTCTAATTTACGTAAATGATATGTTTACAGGAGTGGAATCATACATGTCAATGTTTGCAGATGACGCAAAATTAATGAGAAGAGTTGTGACAGACGAGGATTGTAGGATCCTCCAAGAGGACTTAAACAGGCTGCAGAGATGGTCAGGGAAATGGCTACTGGAGTTTAACACCAGTAAATGTAAAGTTATGGAAATGGGATCAGGTGACAGGAGACCAAAGGGACAGTACACAATGAAGGGGAACAGCCTACCTGTAACGATTCGAGAAAGAGACCTGGGAGTGGATGTGACACCTAATCTAACTCCTGAGGCACATATAAATAGGATAACGACAGCAGCGTACTCTACACTTGCGAAAATTAGAACTTCATTCAGAAACCAAAATGAGGAAGCTTTTAGGGCGCTTTACACTGCCTACGTGAGACCCGTCTTAGAGTATGCCGCGCCATCATGGAGCCCCCACCTGAAGAAACACATAAAGAAACTGGAGAAGGTTCAGAGGTTTGCGACGAGGCTTGTCCCAGAGCTACGAGGGATGGGATATGAAGAGCGGCTGAAGGAACTGAACCTTACGACACTAGAGAAAAGAAGGGAGAGAGGAGATATGATAGGGACATATAAAATACTCAGGGGAATTGACAAAGTGGAAATAGATGAAATGTTCACACGTAATAATAACAGAACGAGGGGACATGGGTGGAAACTGGAAACTCAGATGAGTCACAGAGATGTTAGGAAGTTTTCTTTTAGCGTGAGAGTAGTAGAAAAATGGAATGCACTTGGGGAACAGGTTGTGGAAGCAAATACTATTCATACTTTTAAAACTAGGTATGATAGGGAAATGGGACAGGAGTCATTGCTGTAAACAACCGATAGCTAGAAAGGCG